CCGAAAGCCACGCGCGCCAATGTGACTCTCGTCCGCCGACGTACTTATTCCCCTCCTTAGCCTTCCCCTGCCACCTCGCCGCCGTCAATCTCCACGCGGAGTCGCGGACCCCACCACCGAGCAAGTCTTCGCCACATTCTCTCTCACCGCAACTTCTCATCTCTGGCGACGACGACGGCCAAAACCTTCTCCGGCGGCGGCGTCACTTCCGTCGTTAAAATTCTGTCGAAGAGCGAAACCAACCGCAAGAGCAAAAGCTTCTTGATGCTTCCGCCAAGAGCTCACGAGGTGTTCCGTAACTTGGAGGATGATGACCTGGACGTCTATGACTTGAATAATCGACGGTGGAGGTTCGGCCACATGGTCAGCGGAAGTCCGCCTATGCATGTGCTGACTAGTGGTTGGGACCATTTCGTTTCAAGCAAGATGCTTGTCGCCGGCGACGCGGTGGTCTTCGTACGGGATGCTGACGGGATAATTTTCGTTGGCTGCCGGCGTTGTGACGGCGATGAATGCGATGTCTTGGCCATGAATATGGAAGCTCCCAGCAGGTTTTTTCTTTTTTTCCCCATAAATGGTTCCTATTTATAGCACAAAGAAAACAAAAAAAAAGTAATTTTTGATAACAGATCATAAAAAAAAAAAAGTAATTTTTGTTCATTAGGAAACATCAATTTTCTAGCAATAAGGTTCAAATAACAATTAAGAATGATGATTTTTTTTCATTCAGCAACATCATATCTTTGAGGTGCATTACGACATAATCGTTGAGAATATACTTTCTTATTTTAACGAATGTAATAAAATTCAAGTGACATTCATCTCCCGAGTCAGGTCTTAATATTTCGAGAGATTATTACGTGTGGAGTCTGAACATAGAGAACCGTTTGATTTTATAATTGTGAATTGTAAAAGCGTAACAGTGAACGATAAAAATGTAGTGGTGGACAATAATTGTGCGTTTACTATATTTTTGCAGTTCACACCTATAAAATTGAACGGCTCTCTGTGTTCGGATTCCGTATGTAATAATTTCTCTTTATATAGGATGAGAATTAAGTATTTAAATAAGCAACAAATTTTTTATCAATATTGAATATTTTTTTTTATTAATTGTCAATGAATGTTATCTTATTATAATGTAAATGAGATATAATATAAAAGATAATTCATTTATCGCTGTGAATTAAATTAAACTAGTTTGGAACATAACTATCATGTGATGAAAAAATAAGGCTCTTGTTTTTAATTTCTTTATTTTGTATATTGAGTTAGGCTTCGTCTGAGATGGCTTTCTTAATTAAAGTAATTTTTTAGTGCAAAATTTTTTTGAGCTAAAACTTTTTATAGTAGAAAGTTGTCTCAAATGAAAGCTTAACAAATAAAAATACAAACGAAATTTATCTTTCTTATGCAACAAATCAGAATTTATAACATGAGATAAAGTAATATAATTTTGATTTATTGTTATGCAATATTATAACAACCTCACAAATTGTTGGAAGTAATGGAAATAGTCTTCCAACTATCAACCCTTCATGAGTGTTTTTATCATCTTATCCTATGATGTAACCATAATGTGAAAATTGAGCATCACAATTATTCTTACAATTTTTCTATTGAGGTAAGATTAGTAGAAAACTTAGGAGATAAGTTATATGAAAGAATGAATATCTTCAACGGCTTTATTGGATAATTATCATTAGTAATCAAAATATATGATGATATTAAGAAGTCATTTAACATAAATTATCTCAATTTATTTAGTCCATAAATTTTAAAGTACAAAAAAGCTCAAATTGGGAGATCAACTTTGCCGTAGCTAATAATCTCATATTCTAATTGGAAATGTCAGATAGCATTGCCTTTAGGATAAGCTTTTTTGTAAACATTCTCACATATCTTTGATTGTTTATGTGGCTTTAGATTGAGAACAACCATATAATCAATAGATCCTATGATCCACGTTATCACTCTTATATCATTTTTTTGACATCAAGGTTTCATTTGGGACATCTTTTTTGTTGCTTCTTAAAGCAACTTTCTAGTTAAAAAAATTAAATTTTTTACTAAAAAATTACTTTAATAAGCAATAAAAAAGTCGTTCCAAACAAAGCCTAAGTCAACTTTTAAAATGGAAGAGGCATGATCAATATCATCAATGTGTTATCATAATTTTTTTCCATACTAAATAATTTAAATTGAATTTTTTAGGTAGAATGGTTTTTACCTATGGTCATACTTCAAAAATATTCAAATTATTGATTGATATGGTTTACATATTCAAATAATATTTAAGACTTCGATTTATGTCAACTTTCTTGCTAATTTCTAAAGCAGAGCTCTTCGTTTTGTTGGCTTCCCAAAAAATAAAATAAACAATTAATAACATATCAAAGCATCACATCAATCTTTATCAATTAATTAGAGATCGCCATATTGCTCTCTTTTGCAAAATAAATTGCTTCCCTACAAAATTATAATTTCAATTTCCTACAAGATAGCCCCTCACCTAAAAGAATTCATGATATATTGACATATAAAATTTGTATAACTATTAAGTTTTTTTATTCTCTCTTATTTATCCCTTTGTGAAATTACATCAAAAATTTCTTTTGAGAAATTAAGGTTTTACTTCAAACAGCTTTTCCATTATTTTTTACCATAAAAAAATAGTTAATAATAAATAATATGTATTTGAAGTGCAGTTTTTTTATCATTATTCTAAACTATTCTCTTTAATTTTTTTCTAAATGTTAAAATTTTAATTGAGAATGAAACTTAATAAAAAAAAAACATAAAAAGTCCCAAACAAAATATAAATATAACATAACAACATAATTTGTATGTTTAACAAATGCAGTATGATGATAGCATTTCCTATTTTTTTACTCGTTGTATGTACGCATTACAACATTAATCAAACAAAAGACGATCATGTCTATGCAATTATCATTCAAAATCAGACGATAATGACAGATTAATATTCTGATGAACAAGTTTAAAAAATTCTTAACAGTGTTAATTAACTGTTAATCAAGAATCAGGATTTCTTCTTCTTCCGGCATTTCTGTAATCAGAGCTTGGACAGGCTCAACATCCCATGGATTTTCCATCGTCCTCTTGCAGGTTGTTTTATCCCAAATCACCTGAAAAGAATATAAAAACAAGCTTAAATAATAAAAATTAAATATCATATCCACCCCTGATTTTAATTAATTTTCATTGTTTATCACTTCCATTATTATTATTATTATTATTATTATTTTGCATACCTCAAGCATACGCCATGGATTTTTAATTGATTCAGGCGAGAGAGCCCTCACAGTACCATGCAACCAACAAGTGAAGCCATCAGCCATCTCCCACTTCTTCTGCACTCGCATTCCTCGCTTCCACTGAACACTCATGGCGGTTTCCACCACCTCCTTCTTCACCACATATACTGGAAGCTTACTGTCAGGGTAAAACCTTCCTTCCACCATCCCTTCGCCATATTCTACCGCCCAACGATATGCTTCTATGACCATCTCTGGTTCCTCTCTCTTCTTCCTTAACGTCTTCGTAGTTGAACTGCAAACAGATATATTTATATAATTATTCAGAATAGTTTTATTAATTAGAATTGGTATAATAAATTTAAAGTTTTGAGATTTATTTTGATGAGATATGTTATCAAAAATTACTTTTTTTTTGTTTTCTTTGTGCTATAAATAGGAACGATTTATGGGGCGAAAAAAAAAACAAAAACCTGCTGGAAGCTGCATCCACATTCATGGCGATGGCATCGCATTCATCGCTGTCACAACGTCGGAAGCCAACGAAAATTATCCCGTCAGCATCCCGTACGAAGACCACCACGTCGCCGGCGACAAGATTCTTGCTTGAAAAGAAATGGTGCCAACCACTAGTCAGCACATGCATAGGCGGACTTCCGCTGACCATGTGGCCGAACCTCCAACGTTGATTATTCAAGTCATAGATGTCCAGGTCATCATCCTTCAAGTTACGGAACACCTCGTGAGCTCTTGACGGAAGCGTCAAGACCAAGCTTTTGTTCTTGCGGTTGGTTTCGCTCTTCGACAGAGTTTTAACGACGGAAGTGACGCCGCCGCCGGAGAAGGTTTTGGCCGTCGTCGTAGCCGGAGATGAGAAGTCTGTGGTGAGAGAGAACGTGGCGAAGACTTGCTCGGTGGTGGGGTCCGCGTGGAGATTGACGGCGGCGAGGTGGCAGGAGAAGGCAAAGGAGGGGAATAAGTACTTCGGCAGACGAGAGCCACATTGCTCCGCGTGGCCTTCGGAGAAGTAGTAGACGTCGGAGCCAGCGGAAGGAAAGTTGGGAGATGAGAAGGCGAGGGGTTTCCATATAGCACGGTCTATGACGGGAGACTCGCCGGCGGCGGACAGAGCTTTTCCTTTATCTATTTTTGACGGCATGGTATCAACTTGTATTTTTTTCCCCTTCCAAGGGAAGTATGGCATTTCTGGATTCATTTATATTTATAGTTTTTTCTTTTATGTTTTTTTTTTATTTAATTCTAACAAACTCCTAGAAATTTGTTTCGTAATAATATATATAATCAATGACAGACTTTTTGTCTCAGTGATTAGAGATTTCCCGCGGGATTCATGGAGCAATTGCAAGTTTATTTTTTCATTTCCCAAAAAAAAGTTTTTAATCTCAAAATTAAAATAAATTAATATATTTTATTTTTTAAAAATGTGCGGCACTTAAATAATATTTATTTGGAACATTTTTTATCATTCTGTTCACTTTTGAATAACTTATTTTTCAGTCATAGTTTTAAAATTATTTCCTTAAAAAAAAAAAGTTCAAGATTTCATTTTGTATTATTTTTACATTTAAAATCTCTTTTTTCAATAATTTTTTTTTCAAAAAATATTTTTTAAAGGCAATATTTTAAATATATATATATATATAGTTTTTTATTCCAGACAAAATTTAAAATAGTAATGAAAAATTATCTTTTAAATATATTATATTTCTTACAACAGAAGGATTCGAAAGGCTCTTTGAACAAAAATTAAAAGATTTCTTCATGAAAATAGGTTATAATAAAAATATTTGACTAAAAAAATTAAATATTTTTTATAATCATAATATTAAAAAATATGAATTTATTTTAATTTCATCTTCTTTCAATTAATAACTTATTAAAATAATATTTTTTCTTAAATTATAATAAATGGGCAAATTACAGAATATTTTCAAAATAAATTTATCTAGAAATAATGAAATATGTATTTTCCGTGCATTTAAATTATATGTTTTCACAAAAATAAATAATCTTTTTTTATTATTTTCAAATATATTATAACCTTTCCTATCCTCTGTCCTTTATTTATACCCTTCACAGTCTGTCATTTTTATTAATAAAATTAATTTATTGCTCTTATTCTCTTCTTTTTGGATTAATATCCGTAAATAGCAGAATTCGATGAGTTTTTTGTCTTAGAACCGAACGTTACCACACGATGCATGGAGTTTAGTGAAGGCCGATCGGTCCGCGTAAATCAATAAAGATCAGAATAATTGTTGGAAAAAAAAATGTTAGAATATTTTCAGGTATAATTTATAAAAATAAATTTTAATTTTTTAGACTTTATATATATTCATGATATCACATATAATACTAAATTCTAAGATATTAAAATTTATTCTGAAGTATTTTATATTAGAAAATTTTTACACATAATTTTTCATAATTATATTTTTGATAGATATACATTATTATTGCGTGCCAGGATATTTACAGTGGTAGGAGATATATTAATTTAACATAGTAGTTTTGTACAAATATCAAACACAAAATGAGAAAGATGTGTGCAAGAATTGTATGGAACACTATATTAATTATACATGGAAAAACCCATAAAAAATAAAATAAAATAATAATAATGTGCGTGGCCTAGTTAAAAAAGATTCGTTATTATTTGTCATTTATTACAAATGATGGTCTTCTTCTGGGAAAGACATTGACACAATATAGTAAATATAAATTACATTGAATACAATATAATTGAGATTGAAGTTGAATAAACCCATCGGCATGAGCCCTAGCCATCATTGTCGGAACCTCCTCCAGACCTCTGTCTGGTTGCCAATCACCAAAACTCTACCCGACCGTCACCATAGGGCGTCCGCCTAACCATCCTTAGCCCAACAACTTATTGTCAGACCTTTGCCTTGCTGCTGCCACAGCGCTTCTGCCAGACTGATAACTACCAAATTTTAGGTTGAACAAGGCTTGGTCACTTATTGGCGAACAACCTCCGACGGGCTTTCATCGACCAGTCGCCACCTAATCACCATCATTGGATTTGTTTTTAACTAACCACCGCTGTCAGAATCATGATATCCCGATGGGACTGCAATTATTCCACCTATTTCTCGACTCTTTTAATTTTTCATTTCCATGAGAGGGGATGAGCTCGAGCCAACATTTAAAATTCACATATACATTGCATAATCTCTTCAACTGAGCAAAGCCTCATGATTTTTCCCTTTTCAAGTTTTTCCATGTAAAAATCTCTGATATTCCCAAACTTTTTCATTTATCTATTTATGCACTGTTTATTATTGCATCGCTCGGATGTAAAACATTATCTTTCTATCACCACGAATTTATAGTCCAATTATATTTTTATTTTCTTATTATTTATTTAATTATTTATATTTTTAGATAATAAATACTTTTTCATAATTAATTGCTACAAAAATTGTTATTTAATTTAAAAAAAATTATAATACTCATAACAATTTTCAATTTTTTTTTTACTTTTTCATAATCGATTATAATCATATAAAGCTATTTTTAAGGACAATTGCAGCCCCAAATGGATTCTATACCGTGGGTGGCTATGGGCACTTCTTTTATACATTTTTAATAAAATGGTATAATAATACAATTTGAAATTGATGCTTCAATTTTCAAATGGAGAGAGACCAAACGAAACTTTAGACTTTCTTGAGTTATAAAAATATAAAGTGGACTGAAATGAAATTTGTCTTTGTTGAGTCCTCCAACTGCCTTTGCTCGATTATAGAATATGTATTAATGATATCAACTTGATGGATTATTCTCACGGAGACGCTAATTTTTTACTATAAATACTCATGATTTGAAGATCATTTGATTCATCAAAGAAGGTTATAAACATTTTTATTGTCATTTTAGTATTTGATTTGGGCTCATTTCGACTCTGATCAATATACTTTTGATGTATTTGATTCAATTTTAAAATTGCTTGAATCTAAGTTTGAATGATCATAAATTTAATTCAAAATGTTTTCAATTTAGGAATTAATATTGTTTATGATCTATATTTTTAGGTTTGGTGGATTTTTGTATGGTGTATTAATATACATATTAAATTTAATTCAGTAATTTTAAATCTCATATTAACAAAAAAAATTTAGGATATCGATCTTAGCCTTTGTTTTGGCTTTAATTAGACATGAAAAAGATATACAATACTCGCATGTTTATAGTTAAATCAAGTGTTTTGATGAGATTAATTCAACGAGCCTAAAATTTAAATGATCTAGGGACGATGCATGATCAAGGGAACAATATGAGCATTTCAGCTATGTTTAGGAGACATATCAATCTAAAAAAAAACTATAAATAAGTTCCAAGAAGAGGAGATCTTGGGCATTGGCTTGATATTTAAAAGTGCTAAGAGACTCTAAAAATCTCGGAGCTCCTTCCGAGTTTTTTTATAGATCCAAATGCAAGAAAAAACAACATCTTTACATGAAAGATTAATAAAAGATAAAAACCTCAAGACTTGGCCTAATTGTAATGATTAATTTCACTAGTGTTTATCATTTATTACAAATGATATTATTTCCTAGGAGAATGATATAGTGTAGGAAACATATAATGTATGGATCATTGTATATGATGAAAGTTTGAAGAGTTATGTGGCATGAGGTCCATCTTTAAGAGACTTTTTATTGTTTGTTTAGACCTACTCCATTGTGGATTGGGGACCAAGGACCATGTAATAGCATGTATCTTAATCGAGTTAAACAAATTTTTTTCAGGATTTATTATAAGTTCAAATCACAAATTATCTTCACCATAAAATAGATATTGTAATATTTTAATTATATTAATTTTCTGAATTTTTTTTTGCACTGGTTCAAATTCTAAAAAAATTGACATTTGTTGATACAAGTGGTATTTTAGGACCGCCTAATATTCATTTTGCAAACTAATTTCATAATTTTTTTTTTAAATAAAATGAACTATTTTGTGGATATTTTTTTAAGTCCCTAAAAGATTTACATAAATTTTATACTAAAGATTGATTAAATTATATAATTATATTTATATTAGATTTATTGCGGGCTAGAATATACTCGGCAATAGAGTTGTAATTTTACGTCTTAGCGTTCCATGGATATCCAGCTCACACACAGAGAATACAAAATTTTTTATGTGAAAAATCCTAGAAATGGGAAAAACTAAGGGGCCTAGCCCAGTTGAAAAAATTTCACTATAATTTGAGTTGAGTATAGTGGGCTGACTCTTCCTTGGGGGTGATCAAATTACAAATCTCAACCGTATGATTGAAGTATAGTGTTAAATCTGGCATCACTTGGAAGTTAGAGCGTCCGTTAGTAGTCCGGCAATGACTTGACATTTGATGGTCTAGCATAGTTTAATTGATGGTCTGGAGGAGTTTAGGCTCTTAGATGGTGGTCCAGTAAAGGTGGGGGCCTCAAGCAGTGGTCCGGCTAGGATAAGGGCCTCCAATGGTGGTCTGACAAAGGTGAGTACCTTAGGAGGTGGTTCGGCGAGGGTGAGGGCTTCAGGTGGTGGTCTAGTAAAGTTGAGGGCCTTAAGCGGTGGTCCGGCGAGGGTGAGAGCCTTAGGTGGTGGTCCGACGAAGGTGAGGGCCTCAGGCGGTGGTCCAGCTAGAGTGAGGGTCATATGTGGTGGTTCGACAAAGTTGAGGGCCTCAGGCGGTGGTCCAGTGAGGGTGAGGGTCTCAGGTGAGGGTCTCAGGTGGTGGTCCCGCGACGGTGAGAGTCTTAGGTGTTGGTCCGGCGAAGGTAAGGGCCTTAGGCGGTGATCCAGCGAGGGTGAGGGTCTCAGTTGGTGGTTTGACATGTGTAAGAGGCTCATGCGGTGGTCCGACAAGGGTGAGGGCCTCAGGTAGTGGTGGAGAAGGGTAAGGGCCTTAAATGGTGGCCCGACAAAGGTGAGGGCCTCAGATGGTGGTCCGACGAGGGTGAGGGACCAGTGAAGAGTGAGGGCCTCAAATGGTGGTCAGGGAAAGATGAGGGCCTCGAGTGGTGGTCTGGCAAGGGTGAGGGCCTTAGGTGTTTGTCCGACGAAGTTGAGGGCCTCATGCGGTGGTCTAACGAGGGTAAGGGCCTCAGGTGGTGGTCCGGTGAAGGTGAGGGTCTCAGGCGGTGGTCCGATGAGGGTGAGGGCCTTAGGTGATGGTTCGGCGAAGATGAGGGCCTCATGTGGTGGTCAGGTGAAGGTGAGGGTCTCAAGTGGTGTGACGAGGGTGAGGGCCTAAGGTGGTGGTCCGGCAAAGGTGAGGTCCTCAAGTGGTGGTTCGGCGGAGCAACAACGTCAGGAGATGGTCCGGCGGAACTCAGGCGGTGATCGAGGAGGAGCTTCTTCCTTCTCTTCTCTTCTTCTCTTCTTGCTTTGTTCCTTTTCAAGAGAAATGAAGGGTCAATTTATAGATTTCTAGAGTGACATGATCAGTAATAGGTGATAGATCAAGGGTAAATGGGGAGTGATTGGATGGATGAACGATGTTGAATTCCTTAATCATGGACCATTTGATGGACATTTGAATGCCTTAGTGATGTCGGAATTCAATGATCTTGGATTCATCTCATCGAGCCGCTCAATTCGACTATAAGGAAGTTACATTTGGAATCCGTTTGGTAATCCAAATTGTGTTTCGAACCTTCCAACTGCGCTACCCTTGATTTGGACTCGTTTGGGCTCGAATTGGGTTGGATTTAGTGTCGTTGGGTTCGTATTCTTGAAATGCTCAGTTCGACTATAAGTTTGCTGAAATCGAAGTTCAGATGGTCTCATTTTTAATTTTCGAAGTTTCCAACTTGATTTTTAATCGAGATTCGTGCCTGATCAAGAGAATTTTTTGATGGCATATCAAGATTATTATTTTATTACAAAATATCTTAAGACACTTAACTTTATTAAAATGCATTTCCTAATTCCCAAAAATGACTAACATAAAAGGAATTAGGGATACCGTATTTGTTTATTATTTATAGATTCTATTGCTACTATATATGAACTTTACTATTTATGTATTGATTAATGGTTATGTGATTACTACTGTTATGGTTTGACTACTAACATGCATATTATTTCTTTATAGTGTATTGTGTTCAGTTGTAAGATTTTATTATTTGTTGAGCTCTTGAGTTCATTATATATGATTAAATAATTTCATGTCAGGACAAGAGAGTAGGAGTGTGAAATTATCTATGATCCTTTAGACTCAAGTTCTTATTATTTCAGTTATTCTTTTGTGCTTAGGATAAAATAGTTGTGATATGATTGTAAAGATCCTGAGTGATATACATGATTTTTGTGAAAGAAATATTGATGTATATATTGATAACAACAACAACATCAAGCCTTTATCCCACTACGTGGGGTCGGCTACATGAATCCTTTTTCTCCATTGTCCTATTAAAAGTCAAATTCTCGTTTAAATCTAGTTTTATTTTTGCTAGTCTTTATATTGATAAAAAAAATTAAGTGGTTGTTATTTATTAAAAGATAAAAAAATACATTTTTTTTAAAAATTAAATTTTAGGGCATTACAGACCAAAAAATTCATCATAAATCTTGGTGTTAACATTTGGTGTCAAAGTTGGCGTTGATAGTGTGCACCAATCTTATAAGTGATATAATATATGATAAAATTAGCGAGCGTTGGCATAACCATGAAACAATGGTTAGAGGGACTACATGTTAGACAATCATAATCAGGGAATGACAATCATAGAATCTTAGTTAAACAACAACAATTGAAGGACTATAGTGCAATGATAGCGGTCAGAAGACTAGTATGAAGATGGAGTTAGAGGGTACTAGTAGGACGACCATGATCTAAGGGCTGTGGCCATGCAAGAGAGGTCGGAGCACTGTAGCAGAACGATGTCATAGTAAAGCAGCGATAGTTAATGAATCGTAGTCGAGTGACGATGATCAAATGATTGCAATTATTGGAGCGTAATAGTCAAATGACTACGATTGAAAGACCATAATTAGATGAATGTGGTTAGTTGGATGGTGGTGTTGGCAGTAGTTCGATGATAATAGTGGTGATGGTGTAACTATGGTGGTCAAAAGATGATTAATTAATGACAATCTAACAATAATGGTTGGGAACTAGTTTGATTGTGACGATCTAACATATGTGTTTGGGTGGAGCTCCATAATTCTTTCAAGTTTTTAGGCTCTCTTGAACCTTAAGCCAATGTTCAAGATCACAATTTCGTCAAAGTCCCCCTCATGTAGATAATGTGGTCCTACTTTATAAATTTTGACTTCATACACCTCATAAATATAGCAAAAATCTAGATCAATTCATTGGATGCATGGTCTATATTCATTCTCTTGATCTAAGACTATTTTTTTAGTATTTAAATGCTTTAATGATATCATAATTAGATGATTTTAGGCCTGTTTGATCCGTTTTATTAAAACGCTCGATTTGACTATAAGAATTTGAGATTTAGAAATCGTTTGGTTGTTTAGTTAATAGTTTAAACTTTTTAACTATTCTTCTAGTACTTGATTTGGGCTCATTTAAGTTTGAACAATATTACTTTAGTGTCGTTCGATTTATCTCACCAAGTAGTTCTTTTTTATTATTAGTTTTTAAGAATAAAATTCAAATGGGCTTGAATTTGAATTTGAAAGTTTTCAATTCAACGGTCCATCTAAATTCATGTTTGATCAAGTTGATTTTTTATGGCACATTTACACCCAAAAATTTAAATCAAATAAAAATATTGCTTATGTTAATTTTTTGAAAGTAAATTTAAAATTTTATGTATATATTTTGGTATGATTATGGCATTAAAATATCATGTAATTGTATATTAATATTTAAATATTTGATATAATATATAAAATTTGCAAGATTTATATGTAAATCCTAAAAAAAAATCCTTACCTCACATTTCTTAAAAGGATCAATTTTAGATCATCTCCAACTGAAGAACTCATTTTATAGTCTAAAATGTAGTACTATTATACAATAACTCTTTTCTAAACGAGCTCCATTTCATAACATAAAAAAATTTATTAAGTATATTCTTTTTCCAAAAAAAAAAAAAGTCAAAAAATCCGCTCATCTAAAGTGCAACTGAATTTGACTTTCCATTAGAACTCGCAATGATTGCAAACTCACGTTTCTCATTCGGTCGGAGATGCTATTAAACCATCCACAATCGAATGCTAAATAGTCATACGCTGTCTGCCAAATGTTTCAATCAAGAGCGAGAAATCATGCTAATTTTCGGGAGTGAACAATGCGATGCCAATACACATTCTATTTTTTAAAATCCGAAAATTAGGTTATTAATTTTAATTTTTTAAGTGTAGATATTATTATTAATAATTGAGAATTAATAATTTATAAACACATTATTTTTTAAAATTTAAAATATTTTTTTACATAATTAATTTATTTAAGATACAATATTAATATATAAATTTAAATGATATCGAGTAATTCAATACTTCAACAAAATAAAAAATAAAAATCAAAACACAGCACAAGTTCAGACAACAAAAGATTAAAATATAAATATATGATTAAAAATAAAGTCTGATATGCACAAAATATATTTTTTTATATTAAAAAATGATGTTCGATTAGAAACAAGTTACTATATTTTAGAATATTTTTGTATTTTGAAGGGAAAAATTGATTTTTTGATTGGAGATGATCGCAGCCTGCAGGATTATTAGCAAGGCTATTGATTTTTAGAATTTAAAGATTAAAATGTTATATAATTAAAAAAATTTAAATAATATAGATATAAATACATATATACATTTTTTATCATATTTATAAAAATCCCCTTAATTTTTACTCTTTTTTACTTTAAGAAACGTGAACACCATTCCTTCTCAATCTAACCGTGACACCGTCCGACCTAGCTAGCGCTCACAGAAGCGAGTGAAGGCGCGGATCGGAAGAACCGCAAATCAATAGAGGTTCGATTTCCTTCCGATCTCGTTGGCGGCGGTGGCCGGACTGTTGCGGCAAGGATGAAGACGACTAAGGGAGGAAAGGTCATGAATCCTACCGATGCCTATCGGAAGGAGCTCCGGAAGAAGGAGCTCAAAAGGGTACGTTTTTTTCTTACTTTGTCATTCCCCTGGCGTTTTCTTTCGCTTTTGTCTGGTAAATGCATTCAATTTCTGTCTTTGCACAATATCCCTGTTGCCTCCTAGAATATTCAAGGCTGTAGAGAAATATAAAGTTTAACATCTTAGCTTTGTACGAAATCCAGCACACAATCAGATAAAGGAGAGGTGTAGCATGCGAAAGAGACATCATAATTTTTATATGAAAACCCCTGAAAAGGGGGAAAAACGACGAGGCTTGGCCCAGTTTGAATGAATATACTAGTGTTTGCAGTTGATTACAAATGATGTCATTTCTTGGGGGGAAGAACTTAACTTAATGTAGCAAATATACATCATATAGAATTTATTACATGGTGGGAATTGGAAGAATCAGTATTGGCATGTTCGTTTGATCGACATGATCAAAGTTGGCAGACCATGGAGGTCATAAATACTGTAGTTTGGCGACGGAGGTTAGAAGGAAAGTAGTCAGCGGGTGAATAAGGGTGTTAGAGGTCAAATTCCGTTGTCTGACGATGGAGGTTGGAAGGACTGTTGTCTGACAATGGAGGTAGGAAGGACCGTAGTCTGGCGATGTAGGTCGAAAGGATTGTAGCCGGCAGACGACGATGGTTGGAAATATTGTTGCCTGGCGACGGAGGTCAGAAGGGCTGTAGTCGGCGGGTGACAGTGGTAAAAACATATAGTTGATGACAGAGGTTGGAAGGACTGTAGTCAATGGGTGACAGTGATCAGAAAGATCGTAGTCGTGCAATGGAGGTCGGAAGGACCGTAGTCGACAGATGACAGTGACAAAAAAGATCATTGTCTGGCAATGGAGGTCGGAAGGACCGTAGTCGATGGACGATGGAGGTAAAAAAGATCGTTGTTTAGCAATGGAGGTCGAAAGGACCGTAGTTGGCGGACGATGGATGTCAAAAAGATCGTTGTTTGACAACGGAGGTCGGAAGGACTGTAGTCATTGGACAACGGGGGTCTGAAAGACCGTAGTCGATGGGCGTCAATGGTCAAAAATACTATTGTCTAGCTACGGAGGTCGGAAGGACTATAGTCGACAACCGGGCAAAAGTCCGACGTCAGTCGGTGGCCAGGCAGAAGTCCGTCATCAGTTAGTGACTGGATGTAAGTCCGGCGTTAATCGGTGGCCAGATAGAAGTCCGACGTCAGTCTGTGGCCGGGTGTAAGTCCAATGTCAGTTGGTGGCCAGATAGAAGCACATCGTCAGTCGATGGCCGGGCGGAAGTCCGACAATAGTCCGACGATGGTCGGTGGTCCGAAGGTGGTCGATGAGTCTAGTGGCGAGAAAGCTCTTGTTTCTCTTTAGTCCTTCTCTTTTTGGCTTCCGCGCTTCCTCTCTCCTTTCATACTTCTCTTCAATGAAGAATGAGTAGTCTATTTATAGTTTTCTGAGAGTGCAATGACTAGTAAATTAGAGGGAGATCTAGGGTACGTTGGGAGTGATTTGAATGGACGGTCGATATTGATCCCATTGATCATGGATTGTTTACTGGCAAGAGAGTTCTAATTTCTCTCTCTTTCTTGGGCATTTCGGTCAAATATCAGTTTTGAAGATGTAACAAATTAAATGCAATGTTTAGATTAGTTTTTTCAAAGATACTACAACGCGTTAGGCTTCCTTGACTACAGTTGCCCTAATAGTTCTTATTAGCACCCTATTATACCAACTTATTACTGAACAATGATCCCTGTATATGCACACAGTGAAAATCCAACAAAAATACAACTTTCCAACTATGTAACCAAACATCATAATCACATGCACTGTCTTAACAACCTCCCCATAAATAACTATGTCAAAACAAAGCAACAATAGTATAGATATCAAGCTCTCCCTCAATCATATATTTATGTAAGCTAATCCAAGCCACTTGTCATAGACCTGCAAAATTTCAACAAATTGTTAAAAGGACAAGTCATCAATAATCAACTAAATGTTTGAAAGATTAGCACTTGCTTCATATATTCAGATGAGATAATTCTGATGGTAGAATTCACACATCCATAGTTAAGATAAAGTACTGTCATGACAAACCGAGTTTCTTAATCATGTAGCAATTTAAATAATAAATGCATTCTGAATTAATAGAAGAAACAGGGATGAGAAACTTGTGTACGCCATGTCTTAAATTTGGTGCATTATCTATAAATTATTTGTTCAATGCAAGTTAAGAACGAGATAAACAAATCAAGTGTAATGTTTACATATATGCATGAACAGTTGAAGACACCATTAAGAAAAATAAAAAATAGCTATCTCAAATTAAAAGACACATAAATGTAACAAAAAAAAAAAGGCACTATAGAAGGGAACGAATTGATTGAAGTGCAGAAAAAACACAAGTATCTAATTTTAACTTATTCTCCATTTTCTAAATCTTTCCTTTAGCTTAGTGGCTAGGTAAGGAAAAGGATAAAGATGGATCAGCTTGTACTTAAATTAAAATATTGGAAACCAAAAAAATGATTATAATCTCAAACTAAATATCCATGACTAAGACAAAAGCTTACAGTTTCAAAAGCAGAAATACTTTGAATTTGAAGATTTTTGGTATTTGACGATTTCATTCTTTTTTGAGTTGGCCCTTGTGAAAAAAAAAAAAAATCATATATAAAACTTGAATCTACCTATCTATGTAGCTCATCTCATGTGGTAAGACCAGGAAACATAAAAGAATAGCATTGTTCCTAGAGTCCTTGATGATGTAAAATGTTGTAGGTATAGCATATACGCTTTCTACAACTCGGAGAAAAGGAGCGGACTCCTCTATAAGAAAGGAAAAGAAGAATCTTTGCTAAAGGTGGAACCTTGAATCACAATGATGATTATAATATTATATTTCCTTTTTTCATTTGGTAGAGGAAAAATCACCTCGATTGAAGATCTTAGTTTGATCTAAGTTTGGAGACAGTGTGGTGATAGAGAGAAAAACGAAACTTGATTAAAAGGGAACATGAAAAAAACTATTCGATAGAAATTTTTTACTGGGTGGGAGAGCAAGTCATACGAGGAAGAAACATATCTTTTGTGTGTATTGGCACAATGCTCCTACTCCAATCCCTTGACTATTTGTCTATGGTCGGTGAAAGGTGAAAATGGAGAGAAACAATGCAAGAGGTCTTAACGGTTTGAGGGTTTAGTGAGACAAAATTAAATAGTTGGTTTCTTGTATCATTGTATAAATGACTATAATTTAGTCGTTGTAGTCATTAATTAAAATTAACAATGAAAGAAACTAAAGCTTGTATTAAGCTGGATGCGAACTCTTTCTTATTAAAAGCTAAACAATCTAAACTATCAGGCAAACACATAGCCACATTTTTTTTTGGACAACAATATTCATGTTATGCTAAACATTTGATATAGCCTTTAGATTAAATTGATCAAAACTGGCTTTACCAAGCTAACAGTTGTGCTCGAGACTCAACTTAAAATGACTAAAGTTAATAGTAACTTTGCAAGAGGTAGTTACTAATGGAGGTTTTAGGATGATTGTGTGATTAAAATTTGGTTGCCGGCTCATTTTTAAGGATTTCCTTCAAAATTTTTTCAAATATATTTTCAAAACTTGAGCTCGAGACTTGACTAAAATAATGGTCCCCATCAAATTTGAACCAACTAAAAACTTAGGTATCAAGCGTCAATCAATATTGTTACTTTTAGCTACAAGTAGCCCTTGTTTGATTTTCAAGTAATGAGACTATTCTGTGAGATATATTCCGGCTTTATGATTGTTATTGATTTTATCATTAGGATTGTCAGATTTGATATTATATTATTTTGTTTTCTGAATGTGGAGACATAATATCCAGATGTTTTTTCTTGACTTAATTAAACTAATGTTTCAATGTTAAGATTTCTTATCCTACTACACCAATGATGTAGAGAGATTAGTTGCTTGCTACCTTTCTTTTTCAACAAAATATGAGAAACCATTGTTCTAATTCATAAACATTTGTCATTAATGAAATGCAGAAATGGACTTGCATCATATTATGCCGAGTTACATAAAATATTATTTTTCTTCGAACATATTATTAGCTGAAGGAGGTAATAGTCTATCCAATTGTAAAGAAACAACAAAAAGTACTATGTTCCATATTTCCCCATGAATAGCTTACTAGCTAACTTATGGTTTTTTTGTTTGATGTTTTGATAATTTTGTGTTTTTATTTGTTTATTTTTGTGACTATTTTCTTTTAGAATGTGAGAAATGAGTTGTAGCTTAAAAGTGTTTATGATTATGCATTATGTGGTATCAGTAAACACTCTTCTGAGCAGTATGAGTAAAGTAGAGTATGATCAATTCCTTTTTCCAATTTATCCATTTCATATGCTTTATTATGTGAAAACCTTGGCAGAAATTTGTTATACAAAACTGAATTTGATCTTTCTTATGTTATGCCAGAATAAAAAAGAAAGAAAAAAGGTTCGAGAAGTTGGGATTCTTAAAAAGGATCCTGAGAGCATCAGGGAGCAGATTGAGAAGCTGGAAGTGATGAGTAAGCATTTATTTGTCTTTATGAAGCACAAATTTTAGTAGCTTGGAGTTTAGTTAAATGATCGTTGGTTTGGTCTATAACATACATTGTGATTTAGATTTGCTTACATACAATTGAGTGCTGATTTTGATGTTTAATATATAGAAAAATTTCATCAACCTTTAATATAATGCAACTAGCTCTTTTAGGATGCCAGTGTCTATACAATTATTAAAAAAAATATTTGGATAAATGTCATTTTGGTCATTCAAATTGGTTAATATAGATCCATAATTTTAATAATCATCTTATTCTTTTCCAAGCACCTTTAAGATTTTACTATGGCCCCTCAGCTTGGCTCCTAATCTTGGAAATTCATTTTTTGCTAATGAGGTTAAATAGTATGTTAATGTAGTTTGTTATGGTATTTTTTAGTTAAATCTGAACAAATTAATTTCATTTTTGCTAATGAGGTTAAATTTGGGGTTGGCCATTGTCTAACAAGAATAATACGCTCACTTTATCGATGCTAGAGACGAAGAGGTGGAAGCGGTGAGATAACTCGTGTGATTCTCATGATTGGCTCTCATGGGGTTAGATCATTTTTCAACGAGATAAAGCCGCTGACTCCATTGGCATTAGAGATGATGAGGAAGAAGAATAAGAGTGGTGGAGGTCATGAGAGGTCCTCTGTCTAGCATCAATAGTTCAGAAAATCACGTGAGGAGTTGAATTGCTAGACGTTGGAGATAACTAGCATAAGGGGCGAGCAAGGGGAAGTGTTGTTTTTCCATCTTTGCATAAAAAAAAGAGGTGAAATTCGGGGAAAAATAGTATGTCTTTTTACGTTCAATTGGTTGTTCTATGAATGAAAGAACCTAAGTGTAACATGAACTAGATATCAAGCATCAAAATGGATGGTTTTTAAAATTGTATGCCTATATTAAGAACGACCTAAGTTTTAGGGACTCATACGGCACTCAAATTTTTGTAAACTAAGGATAACTTATTAATATGATCCATGTTTGTTATTTAGTGGGCTTTGATGCTTTGCTTGGTGTTATGTTATTATATTTATTTTATGCTTAGAACATGTTAATTTATTTGCTACCAAACATGCAATTTATCCATTTGGTTTTTAATTTTCTTCTTCTTTTTTGCCTTAAAAGGCTACAAATAGTTTGCTACACAAATAACAATTGACTATGTTGCCCAATCCTTGATGGTGTCAAGCTGTTGAGCTTACAGGCAATGATAGAAGGCTTCTCATGCATACAACCACTTGCTTGTCTATTAAAGTAAAAATACTTGCAAGCAATAGTAGATGATCTACAATAGTGATGAATGCAACTCTCCAAACAATCAATATCTGTTTGCGAATAAACACGTTGACCTACCTATAAGCAATGATAGTAGATACACTGCCGGTATGATGGGTTCCTCGTGAACACGAACTTGCAACATATTTTTTACAAGAAAAAATTGAGGACCACATCAAATGCAGGATTATAACAAATGCATATTCCCGTAGTCAACATCAATATACAACCAATCACATTAAGCCTTACAAGTAGCAGGGGGGACTCAATATGCAATGAATTGAAAGCCAGGGTGTGTTTGAAGAGCTCAAAGAGAATGCAACCCTCATGCAATTAATGCCATTTAACCGTAGGCAAATACACTGGTCCTCTGCAGGCACAAACAAATGATGTATAACAAAAACGAATATCTACGAGCCATAGTAGGAGACTAATTAGTGCATGAGAGTCTACCTATATAAAGCAACGAGTAACCCGTAGTGCGACACCACGCCACTGGATACACAATATTCGTATAAGCATACATGTGTCCACAAGCTACTACGCCACGCCACCAGATCCACAACATTCATATCAGCAGACAGAAGACGTTCACAAAGCTGCTACGCCATGCCATCAGATATGTAATATTCACATAAGCAGACAGAAGGTGTCTACAAGCTATTATGCCATGCCACCAAATCCACAACATTTGTAGAAGCAGATAAAAACCATCCACAAAGCTGCTACGCCATGCCATCGAATCTGTAACATTCGCATAAGCAGATATAAGACATCCACAAGCTACCACACCACACCACTGGATCCCAAACACTCATACAAGTAGACAGAAGGCGTTTCGTAAGCTTCAAGTGAAATTTTGCACAAACCTTAGCGACACTCACTTAGCTTAAATAATTATATTTAAATATTTAAATGCTTCCCCTCATGCATTAAAATATGATTAAATATTCGCATGTGCCCTGACGAGCGTGTTTGTATGCACACACGTGACGCCTGAGGATGCTGCGCGGGTCAAGAAATGAACTTACGTTTGAATCCGATCCTTCTATATGAATAGATAGGAGTCGACACAGCTCAAACTATCAAACAAATATTCGGTTGCGACATCGGCCATGATATTTTTTATATGTTCATATTAGACATTCAAGGCATACAACAAGGAAAATTCATGGACAAAGACCTAAAGCTGGCAATGAACTGATCCTATGTTAGCAATTAGACAAAATCGACAAGGTTCAACAGATAATTACAAAAATATCCCCTAAATACTTACATGGGCATCGACAAGCGTGATGCATGCACATGTGACGTTTGAGGATGCTGCGAGGGTCAATAAATAAACTTAAGTTCAAGCTTGATCCTTCTACGCGAGTGGATAGGAGTCAACACAGCTCGATCTATCAAACAAATATATGGTTGCAATGTCGACTGAGACATTTATTTTATACGTTCATATAGTCTTTCAAGATTTATAATAATAAAAATTTACTAATAAAGGCCTGAAGCCCACAACAAACCCGATCCTCTGTTGGCAACTGACATAGTCAACAAGGTTCAATGAAATAAAATTGTCCATGAATACCTCGATGATGGCCGCGTTGAAAGTATACCTCAATTAGAGGGGTTAATTTCAAATATTTGAAATGCTATCCAAATGCCCATAAAATTCAAACTCCAAAAAATATCAAAACCTGAAATATTTGAAATTGAAATTAACCTTCAAAATGCTTAAAGCAAAATCCATCAAGCTTCTGCAACAGTTTGCCTACGTGGATAAATTTAAATATTATTTCAGCTCACAAAGAGCTAATGTCTTGTCGAGAATATCATTAGGATTCATTCAGAAACAGTCTCCTGCTAGTAATGACATTGCATTGGTCTCCTATCAGTAAGGACATAGCATTGGTCCTCTAATCAATGGTTTGGCCAAATGGCTCCGTAAAGAACCCATGGCTTGGTTGGATAGGTCAGCGTGGTTAATGATTACGACCACGACCCTCTAGCCTAGTGAATTGGTCTAAAAACTTCACTTTATTACGGTTATGGTAACAACCCGTATGCTCCTCAATGGTGTCAAATTCTTGTGATATGAATCAATAGGATATAATCGATAGGGCACAAAGTCCTCTGTTAGCTTTAATGAATACAAATTTGTCCCCTTAGGCAAATATTCACCCTAGGTTTACAATGTTCACTTGGACGACGCAACCCATGGCGACCGACAAGGATCCTTTTATCAGGTTTGGTCGACTACCTCATATGACTAAGTAGACCAGGGATTATGAGTTCCTGGGATGACAGAATCGTTAGATCTTGATTGGGTTCATCATCATTCTTCCCACCATCCACTTTAAGTGCAAGATGGTGAAATATCAATTTTGCATATTAAAATTTCAACCATACCAAACTTGCTGCTACTATACACCAGATAATATGTATTTCTACGTATCTGATTGACGACTAATCTTAATCGAAAGTTCTCTCCGCTATTGGGAGGTGTAATTAACTATAGGGGCTCGCGTCTATTGGAAAGAAAAACTTAGATTATAAAGTCCTTGCAAAAAGTGGGCGAAATCTCTGTGTAGTGTCTTATTTCAAACCCAATTTGCCTTCTAAAAATTTACTTCGGAACATACTTCGTTAAAACTCTACCGAAAGAGGGGAGTCTGGAGCGTGAATTTTTGGAGCCCATATTGAATATCAATCGAAAGGGTCTCTACCTTTTAAATTCCCCCAAATCTCAAAATTAATCACTTATGGGCTCAAATTATAGCAAATTTGTAAATTCAATATTCATCAAGGTTTAAATATTTAAATATGAAATTAATAACAAACATACTTAAAATAAAAATCTATCCACCCTCTGCAATAGATTTTTGAGGTTGTTAAATTTGGAAATCACTTCAGCTCATAAAGAGCGAATGACCAGTCGAGAATATCACTAATATTTATTCTCCGTGCCTATCTAACGACTAGCTTTAATCAAAAGTGTTCTCTCATTATTGGGATAAATAATTAATTATAGGGACTTGTGCCTATGGGAAATCAGATCTCATATCATAAAATCCTCTCAAAATGTGGGTGAAATATCTGGGTAGTGTCTTATCTAAAATTCAATTTGACTTCTTAAAATTTATCCCAAAACCTAAACTTGTTAAAACTCTTATTTTTAAAAAAGCAGGTGCGGAGAGGTCGGAGCGTGAATTTTCAGATCCCACAATATAGTTATTTATAAGGCCATCACACATGTCATCTACATCTCATCCTTGCACTGATCAATTTGAATGACTAAAAAATATTATTTGCCAATATTACGCCAACAATTTCAACGAGCTTGGTGGTGTGTTATTTGCGATCCATCATTCACAGCATGGCTTTTTTACATTAAAATTAATTATTTTTGCAGGCATCTTCTTCATCACTGAATCTTGACTTGAACCACTATCGATTGTCTTGTACCTATCATTAACTTAATTTAACTGCAAATTTGATGATGGAAGATGCTCTAGTAGAAGTACATTATCATTCAAGCATGCATGGAGTGGAGGTTGAGCTCTAGAAGATTGTGTATCATGAGGGCTAGTAATGATAAATATTGTTACTCATATGTGTGATGTCTGCTAATGAGATTGAAAGACCTTCATTTCTTCATGTGTATTGCTAATTTTGTGTTGTAATGTGAACCAAATCTTCCTATTCAGTTTGGACTAGCTCCGCTTCCATGTATATGACTTATATTTGTTGCCAAGCCTTTGATAAGACCATCTTGCAGTGTTCCTCATCTAAAATATAGGTGACCATATAACCAACGTTAATAGGTAATGTCATTTTAGATGACATGATCAAACTATCGTAGTATAAGGCTTGCATTACTCTACGTAATCGAAATGGGAAAATTTCTTCTGATCACTTAGGGGAGTGAAGTCATTCATAATACTTTGTTTTTCATGGAAAACAAGCATCAATCACGGAACGGGTTCTCTACTCTCATCGTAAAAATTAATCCAATTGTGTAAAGAAGATATACTATTGTGAAATTAAATATAATTACAATACCAATAACATAAATATTATAAGTTTCAAAGGAGATTATTTTTAATGCTAACTATATTTTGATAATCTCGTTGTGTTCATAAAAATTGAGATCTAAAATATAACATAATATTTTGAGTATGGATAAGATTAGAGTTGGTAATGTTTGGGATAATAACATTTAGTATTCACTTTATTTACCTCATTATCATGTCAGAATTTAATATTGATGATATTGAGGGCATAAATGATGTGGCTTGTTATAAGCTTGTGTATTTTTGTTCATTTCTTTAAATTTTATGGCAATGAGTGTTTGATAAGACAGTCTGAGGTGCATAAACAGTGTTTCATGCTACTAACGACAAGGATTAGAATTCATGTAAAGCTACAAATTGTTTATATATAGTTAATGCATGCCATCGTTCTGTGCAGAGGCAGATGGTGCTTTGGATAAGGCCAGGAAGCACAAGAAGCGACAGCTTGAGGATACACTAAACTTGGTTATGAAGAAAAGGAAGGTACTTTGTTTTGTTCTGCATCAGTTTTTCGATATGATTCAAATTGTGTATTATCCTTAGCTTATACAGTAGAGATTTGGAGTGCCTTTGGTTTTCTAAAAACCACCAAAAAAAGTTGGAAGATTTTCCTTGTTTGGTTTGAATTGCGATGAACTCAAATAAAACAAATCATGAATAATACATCAGTTAATTAATCAACCTCTTCATTTGTTAATAAATATTCTTGATCTAATTTGGAATGCACATTTGTGATTTGCCTGGTAAAAATGGTAGGTGGTTTCATGCAATCTTGTATGTTAGGGTATTATAAAAAAATTCGAAAATACACTGAGATGTGTGATTCTTGTTTCTAATTTCTTCATCCCTTTGAAGATTCAGATGTCATGCTTACATAATGTGAACCTTGCTGTGGTATAATTTAATATCCTGGAAGCTTCTTCTAGACATATTTAATTTCTGTGGTAACTTGTCAAAGAAGACAATGTACAATTTTAAATTCAAATAAGAAAAAGGATATTTCAATTGTAAGAGGCATTCATTTATCCATGCAAAGAACACTTACCTTTTTCTCCTAATCATGTTGGTGCCCGTAGATCCCATTCATCCTTTATTGATTTTCCACGCTTTCCCTCTCTTAGAGTAGATATCTATCAATTCCTAATTGTTAATAAGGAAATCAGAATTGGATTTCAACAATACTTTTGTGAGGGTATTTGTGGTTTGTTGAGAGCTAGGAATAAAATGCGTTCAAATAATTCTTGCTTATAGTTTTTTTTTTCTTTTACAAAGTGATGATTAACTTTAATGTTCTTGGTTCTATTGTGTTGGAGAAGATTTTGGTTTGTACTTATCATTGCCTTGTCACAATATAGTTTCATGAGAGAATTTATAGTTTTTAATAAAACTTAACCAAAACCTATTGTAATCACATTAGTCCACATTTCTCATTGGCCATGGCTATATATTTAACTTTAGCGCAACTCTAAACTACTACATTATATTTCTTGCTACTCCATGTAGCAAGCCTGTCCTATACATGGGTACAATAATCTACAATGGATCTCTTGTGAATAATAGAACTTACATAGTTTGCATCAATATAAGCATTAATATTGCGCGTAGGGCTTATCTTTTTGAGAGCCCCCCCTTTTAGGACAACTTTTTAAATGTGTCAAGATTCTAGATGTTCCTTTTGTGGTGATTTTATAAATTGGCTTAGTAGGCTCATAACAGAGGTTATATTTGGTCTTGTGTGAGATAAAGAAATTCATTTATCTGCTAATTTTTACTATCAAGTGACACAAATAGATTCTCCATCCTTGTCTTCTTTAAGATCTATGCTTGGATTAATTGGAGTGTTAACATACCCCCTCATTCTAGTTTCTTTTAAGTGGGCGGTTTGGTACAAATATTAGTATTGTATTGTATTTGAAATGAAGGAGTGTTTGGCTGACGGTAAGGGGCTATTTGTTTTGTTGAAAAAGGAACACGGAGTAAAAATAGATGTAGTGTATTTAAAATATTTTAATGTTATTTGGTTGAGTTTATTACAAATGCAAGGGATTAATTTTTGTGTTTGGTGTGAAGTAAATTTAATTCAATATAAAGCCTGGCAGTGGGAGCTAGAAGTGGTTGATGGGCGATGGTGATGGAGAGTGATGGACTGGCAGATGCTGATCAACCTGTGGTGGCTTTGGCACGTGAAGCTTCACATTTTTAATATGTTTGAAATTCGTTCAATTCAGATAATTAAATTTATTGAAAATAAATTAGGATTGTTCTGCATTTCCATTTATTTTAACCAAACATCTGAAAATTTAAAACCTTTGCATTTGGTTTACTTTACACTCAAAATACTGCAAAATAAACAGACCCTAAAGCAAGTCCAAAGTAGTTTTTTGAGTAATTTAAATTCTGCTAAAAGGTTGTTTTCACTGTATTATGAATTTGCCTAAATTATGCAAATTCAGAACGCCATTCTCATGTGAAATGAAGCCCATCTCCTCATGATCTCATTCCTAGTGCTTTCAAAGTTGTTGACATCCATCCTCAAAGTTATCGAAGTCCATGAAGTCGCTACTGCCCATCCCGGAGTCATTGATGGATGCCCCTAAAATTGTTGACGCCATGGTCGTATTCCCACTGCATTGTCACATTTATCGAACTGAAACCAGCCTTGTCGATACTCTAGTTTTCGTGGATGTTGCTCACATTGCCGATTGCACCAACCTGTTCATGGATCTTTCGTTCTTGTTGATTCCATTCACCATCAATTGCTATTATGCCAAATCTTGTTTGCCTAACCACATTTTCATGCTCTAAAAAAATTATATAAAATAGATATTTTAAATATTATATTAATAAAAAATGGATTTACTTTATAGCCATCCAAATACCAACATTTGATCTCTTGAATTTATTTTTCATCCAATCAAACAACCTTAAATATTCAAGTGTATTGAGTTTAATTTACATTGAATTTCAAATACATATGTATTTAAAATGCTTGCAACCAAAAAACCTCTGAGAAGATAAAGAATATACTTCATTTGAGATACCATAGAACAATTATTTGATATTCCTATCTCTATCCCAAGAAAATATTTTATATCTTTCCAATCCTTTATTTCAAAATTTGTAGCCATAATCTTCATTGTCAGTGTCAGGCATACCTTATTCACATTATAACATGTCATGATGTGCTATCCAGATAAGCAATAAGGACTATTGTATTTCTTTCTCTTGAGTGCTTCATGAACATATTAGGATCGATCTAGGTTTAACTTGTAGCCTTGATTTTTCATTGAAGGGTACAATTTCAAAATATGTCCTTGGAGATTGTTTTTGGTCATATAATGACTTCTTAGATAGCATGGCTTTGAGTCAAATTTTCAAGGATTATTCATATAGACTTCTTTTAGGTCTTTACTGAGGAATGCATTATTGACATCTGGTTGGTGTAGATGCAAATCAAGGTTCCTTGTAATAGTAAGACTTTCATATTATTCAATTTTACTATTGGTGTGAATGTTTCCATTTAATCAATGCTATATGTTTGAGCAAACTCTTTGGCAAGCAACCAAGCCTTACATCTGTCAAGAATCTCTTTTGATTCAAACTTTAATAAAAATACCAGATTATAAACAACTTATTTTTCCCTTTAGGCAAGCCTCCCAAAGCCTTGTTTTTCTCAAGAGCTCTCATTTCTTCAAGAACTATTTTCTTCTACTCGGATACTTGTAGAGCGTTATGCACATTTTTTGGGTTCTCTGCAAGAAAGTTGGCTGGTGAAATGAAGAAATTAGTTTGGCAATTTCTGTTGGGCCTAACTTTGATATGAGATAATTAGTATATGTTGTTTTAACACCTTTAAGGAATGCAATGCCACCTTTAAGGAATGCAATGGGTATATTAAGGTCATAAGATTCCTTCTAAGAATTCAGACACAATTGAGACATATTATGAGTCATGATTTTACTTTGGGTTGGAGTCATGATTTTGTAGAGAGCACTCAAAACCTTTTTCCATTATATTATACTTCTCTTTAGTATGCTATTCCAAAGATATTGCGCTTGTTTGCTTCACCTTTTCTTTTGGCATAATCATGATCATGTGGGCTTTATAAATGATTTTATAGAGCTTTCAGTATTTAAAATTTTTCTTAAATTAAATTCTTTTTTTGCATGAATGAATTCATCATTAAAAAGATACGAGTTCAAGTCAATTTTTGAAAAAAATAAATAAATTCTTGAATTAATGTATTTCACAATTTTCTTCTGAATATGAGGCCCAAAGGTTTTATTTTAATAGATGATGCCTGCTGCATCCATTATATGATTTTTTTTTGTAATAGGATCAAAATATTTATTCCATTTTTTGCATTGAAGCACCCAAAAAATACATTTCTTTCCTCTAGGATCTAAATCCCCATCATTTTTATCATGATCCTATAATATCACAATGCAACCAAAGATGTAATGGAAAGATTGGATGTCATTCTATATTAAGGTAAATATTTTATAAAGATATTTGATTGAGTTTGAAAATTTAGAATTTTTAAGGGCGTTCAATTGATCTGATATGTTGCAATTAGAATGGCTTCACTCAAATATTTTGGCACATTGGTAATGGGTAAAGCTAACACTATCGTTGCCAGGTCCCAAATCCTGGATGAGAAAAGTGTAGGGTTGCGTTAGGTAGTCAACAGTCTGCGTAAAACTTGACGAATAATCATGACATGAATTCTTTAATATCTTATGTTAATGCTAGGGTGTTCCTTGGAAGCGACGCGTTGTATGGCTTGAATACAGTGACAAGTGAGCAAGGGTCGCTGCATCAGCGCCCGGGTGCAGTGTTTAATAGACAAGGGTTCCCACATCATGGACGGATGTGGGCAAAGAAGCTAGTACATGATTCTAAAATTAAGATAGGAATTTGAAATATAGGTTCACTTACAGGCAAATTAATAGAACTAATAATTTTATGATCCATAGGAAGATTAATATTATTTGCATTTAAGAAATTAAATGGGTTAGAGAGAAGACTTAAGGAGATTAAGAGTTTATGATTTAAACTATGGTATTCTGGTAGGAGTCTTACTAGAAATGGTGTATGTGTGATTATAGATAAGAGTTTAAAGGATTAGAATTTATGTTGCAAAAGATGTACTTGGAGTATCAAAGAGAAAAAATATCTAATAGTAAAATAGTTAGTGGTGGAATCAAAATGTGCAGGAAAAGATAAAAAATAAGAAAATTTGTTATAAAATTTGGTTTAGCTATAAAAACTCTGATAATTGGGAAAGACATAAAGAGGTCCGTAAGGAGTATAAGAAAGCAATTTGCAATGCAAAGATTTTAGCCTTTAATGATTTATATAATAGATTGGATACTAAGGAGGGCAAAAGATCTATGTATAAGCTAGCGAAACAAAGGGATAGGAGCAGTAATGATTTAGTTTAAGTGAAGTGTATTAAGGATGAAGATCAAAAAGTGCTTTTA